GAGCAATGGGGCTGGGTGCTGGGCTGGAGCAAGCCCTGGATGCCGTGGGGGTTCAGGGACCCTACTGAGACCCCTTCCCATGGCAGGGGCAGCGCCGCAGCAGCAGGTTTCATAGCTGCTGGCTCAGGAGCACCAGGATGTGCCTGGACATCAACTCCTGGGTGCCTGCCAGTCCCGATTGCAAAACCTGCCAAAATAACAGTGTCCCATAATTAGCTGGGAACAGAGGAATGTGCACAGTCAAGCTCCCTGTCAAGGAGTAACTCTCCCAAACCCAGAATTTCTCTGCTCCTGCAAGAAACAGGAACCCGCAGTTTCTCGCAACAGCCCGATAGCAGCTACATCATGACCTCCACAGGGAAGGCAGAGCCCAGTCTGCCAGATTCGGAGGGAGGGGTTATTATACTGCCTTTCCTAGCCCTCAAGAAATTTTGGAAATTCATCCAAATTGCCAAGGCCAGCAGGCAATTAGCAGCAATATTAGGCGCTGGGGCATGCTGATGATTTTCTCTGGTTTTCTTCTTAAGAAGAAAATGGTATCATCTCAGCAAACATGTGCACCAGCTTGCTGAATCAAATAAGCCTCAACACCTCACATGGTAAGACTTTGCAGCAAAACAATCAAGCTGACAGATTTTTGTGCATTGACATCACAGATGGGAAAAAGTCTTACTAATCCTCAAAAGTTTCTTCCAGTGGATGATTTCACTGAGGGCTCTGGATCAGTCCCAGCTGCTGTAAATGAGCACAGACAGCAATAACACAGGAGATTTGGGAAATAGCTTAGATGGTATCTCAGCATCCAGGAGCATGTAAGAGATATTTCATACAGAGCACTGGGAGCAGCAAGAGGGTATGTGGGGCTAATTGAAAGCAGGGGTAGAGTACAATTTGACTAACCTCTAAATCACATGTTTTGTGGCTTCATCACACACGGAAATTCTGTCTTTGATCTGCCAGTCATCAATGCCTTGTTCCAGGTCATGACAACTCATTTCAAAGCCTCTGGGTTAAGCAGTATGACTATTTTAATCAATGGATGTGTTCATTCATTGAACACCGATGTCAGCAGCTGCTGCAGCACCTTATGGACAAAGTACCTTTCTCTGAGCCCATCTACTCCCAAACATGTTGGACAACTTCCACCACTGCTAATGGTGTCTCCCTCCCAAAACCAAGTCTGCAGGAGATTCACATAAGTTCTCATCCTATGTGGCATTTTGCCCACTTTAATACCTCTTTATCACCATGATCTGATTGCAGCAATTTCTTGCCTAATTTATTAGCTCAGACTTTGGCTACAGTGCAATATAGATGCTATAATACTGCACCTTAATGGCACCTGTATTGATCTGAACCTGCCTGAAGCTGTCTTCCTCACCCTTTCCATGGCTCGTGCTCTGACCAAGCTGACAGCTCATCAAAGCACAAACATGGTCTGAAATTACTGGCTATCAATTTTGCTGCAAGTAAATATTAGCACACCCACGTGTAGGACAAGTAACACTGATTAATGGTTTATACGGGGAGGCTGGATTTAAGCTGCAGTAGGATCATTGTACTCCCTGAGCAGGGAGCCATGGAGGAGGATGCCTGCTTAGAGCTGGTGGTTCAACGCAGCCTACACCTGCAAAACTGCCTCCAGGCATTTGCTGCAGGAGCTCTTTGCTGTGCACCAGTCAGGGCCGGGAACAGTCATGCTGGGATATAATGATGCCCAGGATGTTTGAGCGTAACACAGAACGGTAAAAAGTACAATGTGAGACTACTTGCTATTTATACCTTATGTTGCTTTGTTGCATTTAACCCCACTTAATAGCCAGGCTAATTCCAGCTATATTGGTGTGTGTCCTCACTGACACGGTTGAAGCAGGCTGGGGATCCCAGGCAGGAGCTGGCCTGTGGGTTGGAAGTGGTACCTGTTCCCATCAGCAGTGTCTCCAGGATCGTCCCACCCTTTCTGGAGAAATTCTCTGGCTGGACCCAGTGCAGGCTGGTCGCTGCTGCCACCGATGGAAGTACCAGGCGGGCTTGGGGCAGCTCCTCCTTCATCCACCTGGCACACTCATGTCTGTCCTGCTCACCTGCAGAGCGGCAGTGTTACTGTCTGATGCCAGATTCTATTCTAACTTCTTACCCCTGGCAAGATGCAGTCACACTGCACAGAAGTGATTTTCACGTGGGAACAGGAGGATTTGGGAAATAGCAGGCATTTTCCGCTCATTTACTGTAATACACCTTTCCCACCTGAGCCCTTACTGTGACAAATGAAGTCTGACTCCTGTGGTACCAGTCCCCTCTGCCCGGCTGGATCAGGGAGAAAATCCTGTCCCCCGCTTCTCCCATGGGGAGCAGGAAAAAGTCTCTATCATCTGGGAAATCATTAACTCCCTGCTCTGAGCCAAGGAGGTGCAAGAAGCTGTCCTGCTCTGCAAACACACTAATAGCTCAAGTGGAGATTAGCAGGAGTGAGTTTCCAGCCACCCCATGCCACATGGGTGACAGGGTATCAGGGACCAGGCAGAGCTCTGACCAGCCTCCACGTCATCCCATGCCCTTGGCTTTGCCACCACCAAGGTCACCACCATGGTGCAACCAGCACGACTTCTTAGGTTGTGGTGGAATTGCATGAAGTTTGTGTTGGTGACTGGGGCAGACGGTGGGGGAGGGAGGGCTGGGCTGCTCAGCTGGTCCCTGCGGTCACAGGCAGCACCTCAGCCAACGTCTAGCATTAACCCAGTGGAGGAAATGTTTAACCAGCCTCCAAGACCTCCCTACAGCGGGAGGTAAAACACTGTCTGCCTTCAAGTCACAGCCCTGGGTGACTTCACTGGGGCCCGAATTTTGTCTAGAGATCAGGAGCCTGAGCATGACTGACAGCGATGCTGCACTCCCAAGCCCGTGCTGAGAGTGGAGATTTAATAAAGATACAGGCAGGCAGGGCCAGGCAGAGGTCTCTGCTCTGTAATTCACAGCTTGCATCGAGGCTCCTCAGCACTGCAGCCGGGCAGACAGCAAGCTCATCTCGGCGGCAGTGTTATCTCACTGTCATTGCATACATATCAGCTGGCTGCATTACACAGCCAATATTTGTGTTGGGTACTCACTTGACATGACTGGGGTTTTTTAATACACGGGAGACGTGTCCACACAAGAAAGCTCCTGGTGCCGCAGCAAATGGCTAGAGAGAAATGACATTCAGCAGCCAACATCACTAGTAAAGTTACTCAGCAGCTAAAAGTCAATCTAATGTGCAGCTCCAGTAATGAGGACCTGGCTGTGGGCTCCCCCAGAGCCATCTTCCTCTTCCCAGGATTCATTAATTAACCGTACAGCCACCCATCAGTGACACTCTGGTTGCACGTTCAGCACAGTATTATTTTCTCTTTATGTGCATGTCGAATGAAAAACATCACGTCCCTTCCTCAGCAGGGTAGAGTCCAAATACCAAGAAATGAGCCCTCTGTGGCCACACGTGCCAGAGAGCTGTGCCGGAGCCATGCCAGAACCATGCCAGAACCATGCCAGAACCATGCCAGAACCATGCCAGAGCCATGCCGGAGCCATGCCAGAGCCATGCCAGAGATGCCTGGCTCTTCTGCCAGCTCCTGGCACAGAGATTCCTCTGGACTCGCTCCGCTGGGGGTGACACCTCCAAACAAGACCCCTGCAGTACTCACAGCAGCATGGAACCACGCCGGGCACAGGAGACACAAAGAGTGATGCTGGGGTCAGCTCCCCATGTCACCTTCTCCTGGGACATGAAGTCACTTTATAAGAAACACTGGGGCAGTTGGTGAATGACGCAACTCCATGTCTGCAGGAGTGACTCCAGATAAATATCACCCAGCAACCAACCGCCTTCACACAGTAACCTTCAGGGAGCTACAGGGTGAATAAAAAGGCTTTTTGTTAATCCCAAAGATTCAAGAGCACAGGGTGAGGTCGCGTACTAATTTAGATAGCAAAGAGAATTATGCAAGTAGCTTCTAGAAAAAGACCTTTGTCATGAAAAGCCCTTTGGTTCAGGATGGGAGGACCTAAGCATCCCACAAACCCCCTTCCCTGCAGAGAGGATCCCAGATGTGTAGGTGGTCAGGCACTAGGGCATATCATATAGAAATATGTACAGAAAATGTAGCTTGTCTTTTTCCAATTTGTTTTACTCGTTTGAAAGCACGTGTTGATGCCCTTTTCCACTCCCGCATTTACCATCTATAACGACACTAACTCAGGAGTTTAAAGCAGGTTTAAATTGAACCTCTTTTCCCCCTTTGACACATCTCCAATGAACTCACAGACACCTGGTGTTGAGCTTTAGCCTCTTCAAAGGCAACCCAAGGGGAGTAGTACAGATGTGCATCCATCTCTTTTTTTCAATTTGAAATTGAGACAAATGGTTTTTTGGAGTGTGCAGTGAGCAGCCAGGCTATGGGGCAATGGGCAACGTGAGGGGAGTCTGCATGGTCACAAAAAGCTCATGGGGCACATGTGGGCTGCAAGGCAGGCTGCATTTTGAGCAGACAAACTGCACAACCTCCCCACTCAAAGCCCTCTCCTCCACCACAGCCTTGCTCTAGGGGCAAAAGCTGTGTGGAATCTTCAAAACCCTGCCCATGCCTAACCCTCGGCTGGTCGGGTCAGGCTAACCATATTCACACAAGCACACGTATGCACACACCACACACCAAACACAGGGGAATGGGGACCAGCCTGCCTCTCGTCTCCTGCATCTGATGCTCCATTTCAATTAAATTTAACAGCTGATGGTCAAGAGGTTAAAAAAAAAAAATCATTGTTTAAAGTCTCTAGTAACAAATGACCAGCAACTCCTCCTATATATCAACTCCTGTAACAGAGAAATACCTGTACAGTCCTTTCCTATTTCTCTCTTGTCTTTTCTTCCAGAAAGAATATTCCTTTCAGCCCAAGTGTCCAAGTGGAAGCAGGAAGCCCAGGAACGGCAGCTCGGGTGAGTGCCAGCAGCCAGTGCTGCCCCATGGAGAGGGCTTTGCAAGGCGAGCTGGGAGAGGCTGGGGCTCCTGTTCACACCCAGCACTGCTGAGCCCTTGGCTGGAAAACACGGCTGGGATGGGGGAAAGTGCTTGGAGGTGGAGAGGAGGAAAATGTGGAGAGGTAAAAATAAGGGAATAAGCACACCTGTGCCTGTGGCAGCCTGGCCTCTTTCTCCAGTCCTTCACGGGACCAGGAGCATCAGGCCAGGACAGTGTGTGCACCCATGGGTGCCACGATGTGTGAATGTGGCTGGGCACCATGGCAGTGCCCCCCCAGCTTCCCTTATCCCCTTACTCTGGCTGGAAATGGTTTTGTCCCATTGCTGCTCACCTCCTTGGACCGAAACACTGAGCATCTGCAGGCTGGCACAGGATGACCTGGGCAAAGCTGGACCACAGCACCCATCTATGAGCCAGAAGAAGCTGCTGGGGTGGCTTAGCTCCTTCTCCTCTCCCAGCTTTGCAACCTCTGGTTTCCCAGGCCATGGCAATTTAAGGACAGCCACCACAGTACCTGCAGCCACAGCGAGGATGGGGATGAGGGGCCCAGTTCAGGCGGGGGCTGTATCTCAGCAGGATGAGACCCAGTGCAGCAGGAGCCTGGGCCAGCAGCGCAGCAGCATCACACAGCCCTGGTGCCACTGGGATGCCTGTGGCCCCTGTGCAGGGGCTGTTTCTCCCTCCCACAGCCCTTAACCATGGGGTGCAGCAGCTGCTTCCCCTGGACCATGCAGCAGTTAGTAGATGACAGGGTGTTGCAACACGCCAGGGAATAATCACGATAACTCGAGCGGTTGCCCTGGTGCCGGGCTTGGCTGTTGCAGTGGTTGCTAAAGAGAGTGGGCGTGCGGCTTCCTCTGGGGCGATCTGATTTCTCCGGGAGCGTGGTTAAGGCACGCTTAGGAGAAATCGTCCTCCGTGGAGCAGGGACACAACCTCTCCAACCAGCAGCAGCGGCTGTGCTGAGCGGGCTGCTCAGGCGCCTGGGCACACACAGAGCTGTTTGCTTTAGGGGGGGAAAATACGATTAGCTTGCTCATCCGTCCTGGGAAAACATCATCTGGCAACGAAGAGCAAAGAGAGCAAGTTTTCAGGGTGGCAGAGAGATCTTTGTGACCAGCACGGAGGAGCGGGCAAGGCCACCAGCTGCTGCCGGCCAAGCTCCAGCCCTCGGTGGGGTCCCCGTGGGGTGGCGAGAGCGGCAGGGAGAGAGCACCGGTGCAGCAGCCACCTCCACGTGACCCTCCGTCCCCACTCCCACCGGAGAGACCTGGCAGGAGCCAGGCAGCTTCATCGGACCTGGCCAAAAGTCACGCAGGCGCGAGCGTAGCCGGGCAGAAGCGGCAGCCCCAGCCCCTGCAGCCCCATGTCGTGGGGTGCGGGGCAGCACCTGCCCCTGGGGCTCCCCAGGGCCACGCTGCGGAAATCAGGTAAGCCCAGGGCCCCCTGAGCTGTCCCGGGGGGTCCCCGCTTCTCTGCCAGCTCCCCCTGTGGGGACGGGTTGCTGAGCCCCCATGGGATTAGTCTGCACTGCATACATGTTTACGCACAGGTGGCTTCGGACCCTGTTTTGAATTTTCTTTGAGATACCATGTTACTTTAATACTTCAGTAGCTGGTTGAGATGCTGCCCTTCTGCTTTTCAAAACGGACCCATATCCCACAAGAAATTCCCCAAGTAAACCCACAGTGCAATTCAAACCTTCTTCCTGGAAAGGCATTGATTCAGACAGGGAGCACTTGTTAATACAATCCCTGCAAATCAACGTGGGAGGATTTTCTCTGTATTCAACAAAATACCTTTGAGCTACCTTAAAACATTAATTAATGGTTCATGTGCATCTCTGTCATAGGCAGACAAATGCACAGAGCAAATATTTGATGAGATATTAAAAGTAAGTTTGCGATTGAGCATAGCTACTAAGCATCTGTCACTGCTTAACAAAACTAAACAAGCTGCTCCACATGCCACTTGCAAAAGGCAAGGGGCTGACGTCCCTTGGTGATTGCTGACAAAGTGCAATCCCAGCCTTGTTATCTTTGCTTATCACAGTCCAAGGTAATTAAGTGAAATGATTAACCAGCACACCCAATCCTGCCTGCCTGCAGGCTTGCTGCTGCCTGACTGTACAAGCATTTCCAGCATTAGCCAACACAAAACAGGGTACCAGTAACTTCTATACGCCAGACAGCTCAGCTACCCCTAAACCTGCCAGGATTTCTCTCTTGCAAATACATGTGCATGAGTGCAAAGCTCAGCGGGTGACCGTGGTGACTCCCAGGGTCCTTTACGTTTGGGGTGATTGCAGCTGGTGGTGTGTGAGCAGCCCCGGCTGAGCCAGTGCCCGCTCTGTGCCCTGCTTGTGTGGGTGCCGCGCTGGTGTGAACGGGGGAACCCAGCCCTGCGGGCTGCAGGGCTGGCACAGCGATTGGCAAGGGTGGGAAAAACGGGGAACACTGGCTGGACTGGGGAGACTGGATATACTGGTGGGCAGCACTGGCTGTACTGGTGGGGAGCACTGGCTGTACTGGTGGGGAGCCCTATCCTCAGCATGTGTTCAGCAGAGAGGTAGAGGCAGGAACAGTGGTGACATGTGGCAGCAGTGCCAGGAGCTGCAGGACCATGTCCTCCTGCCCCGTTTTACTTTTCATTAGGGTTTTCTTTCCCTTTCCAACCGTGTGACTTCATGGGGTTTATTCCTGAACATCAGGGCTGAGCGAAGGTGAGGGGACCCGGGGCGTGCGTGTCTGCTCCTCTGAGGCAGCCACCAGATAGCTGGGAACTGTTTCCCATGGCAGCCACATCGAGTTACATTCACCCTATTGCATTATAAATACCAGAATTAGCCCTGCTTAATTATTTAAAACTATAGATTAAAAGCAGACAAAGGCTCTTTGCCTCCTTTCCAGAGCACGCGTATCATTTATCGGTGATACGGTCGCCTGGTGACAAGCAAGAGGGAGCAAGCCAGGTCCCTCAGTACAAGATGCTCCTGAGCTGCCAGCACGGCAGGAACCAGAGGAGAGGAATATCACAGTGAGGATGGGAACTGGTACCATCTCACCCAGGGAGGGTAACAATTAGCATCTGCTGATCTTTGGGCTCACCATATTATTATTACTATTATCATCATCCTCATAATTATTAACATCATAATTATTATAAACATCATCATCATCATCCATCACCAGGGGAGTAAGCCACAGCAGTCATTAAAGTAATGTGAAGGAACAACAGGTATTTTGTTCCAGGCTCAGCTGTGTACCAGCGACACACTGGTTAGTTGGGGCATTAAGGAACATTTTGCGAGCTCAGCTGAGGGGATTCACCAGCCAAAGGGCTTCCAGGCACTGTGAGCCTCCCCGTTGGGCAGCACCCCCATCCAACTCACTAAATCTGGCACCTGGGTGCCTCACTCTGCCCTGAGCCCACCAACCGTGCACAAAATGTCTTCCAAAAGCAAGTGCCCGGCTTTGAGGTCAAACCATTTGTCTTCCCAGCAGCAGATCCTCCACAACACAGCTGCACACCCGAAAGCTGCTCTCACTGCACCGCACAAAGCTTTGAGGCTCATGGAGACCAACATACAATTGTTTCCCTGCTCTGTGATGCCAACCCCAGCTATTCCATGTCTCTAAAATACAACTAATAAATGTTAGGAAAATCACGCCAATTAGCAAGTGCCATCAGCTCAAGAATCCAAAATGAAAGACAAATTTTCAGCTTCAATCTTTGTAGGACTTAACATACACCATGACCTTTCCTGCAACTATGCTCTCATGGGAAAAAACTGTAGGGCCAAAATCCAGCTCCATTTCAGAGAGTAGAAATGCATTGACTGAACATTCATGCTCTAAAATGAAAAAAAAAAAAAAAAATTAACTTCTGGTTAACAGGTAGAAGTGTACATGTACCAGTGGTTAAAATGAACTGATGCTAGTTAAAAGATCCCATGCACCTGCACGTACAAACCCCTACAGGGTGTGAGAACAGGCTCATTCCTCTCAGCCTTCCTGAGGAGGCAGGGTGTCGGGGATGGTACCCTCGTGCTGGGGAGAGGAGGGCTCCCAGGGAGCGGATGCCATTGGGGGCCATAGCCCAGAAAAGGGAAGTTTCTCCCCATGATTGCAGTTAAATGTGTCAGAAATTCACATTATTTCCCAGGCTCAGGTTACTTGTGTAAATAGCATTAAACTAGCTCTGCTCCATATTGAGTACACTGGTTTTGCAGTTGCCTTACTTGCAGGATGTATATGACCAGTTTCTTTCAGCAGCCCCTCGTTACACTGTTGGTTCTTTAAAAAAGATGTATTCATGAATAAATCTCAGGCATCCAGAAAATCAGAGGTTCTCGTCTATAGTCACAGTTTTAAGTGATCATTTCTGCCCAGGAAATGGTCCCTTGGGTCAGTGATTTTAGAAATCCAGATCCAGGGCTCTGACCCGGGGCATCCTGAGGTTTTTGCCCAGTCTCATCCCTTCTACCAAGTAACAGGATTTCACAGAATTACAAATAGCAATATCCTCTGATCTTGGATCCCATTCCCAGAATAATGCCTTCTGCCTGTTTTTACGGGGATGGCATTTCACAGAGGCTTATTCTCTGCCCAGAAAGGGATGCCCATAAAATATTTTTAACAGTTTGGCCATCAGCTGTCCGTATTGACAAAGCTCTCCCGAGATGCTCTAGTTGGAAAATCAGTTCTCAAATGACACAGACAGCAGAAATAAAAGGCTGCAAACTACATTCGCTTTACAGATTTCAGCTAAAGCTAAACACTGACCTGTGCTGCAGAAGACAGCATCGACAGCTTTGCAAGTTAAGATTGCTGAGAAGCAACAGGGCAGCACTGCATGGGGCAGGGCACGCTGCAGGGCAGGGCTGCCTATGGCGCTGAAAAAAGAGAAACTCAGTTTGCGGGTGGCATGGAAAAGGGCCAGGGGCTGAACAGGGGAAGGGTGAGCAGGTCACAGAGGGGCAGAACATCGAGGAGAGATTGGCAAAACAAAAGTCAAGGAGGAGGAGGCATTTCACATGAAAACCTGAGAAAAGCCGCTGGTGTCCTGGCTGCACCCTCCATTCTCCTAAACAGTCATCAGTCGAGAGCTGCTGGGTAGGAGCCCAGACCTCCACCCTACAGCTTTCTAAACCTAACAGCTATGGATTAATTTTATTTTCAATCTCTTTTGGTTTTCCCCTTGTGAAGAACAACTGGAGCCATGCAGGCAGCCATAAGCAGAGCTGCACCCCTCAGGTTACCTGCCCTTTCCAGAGCCGCTAATCCCTTTAACATTCCTGGGGATTATTTCCATCCCGACAGGACAGTGCAGAAGGCTGCCAGCAGCAGCGCAGGGAGCAGCACACAGCACACGGTCCCAACGCAGAGAGGCTCACAGGGCAAACCGACCATGGAGAGACAAGTGGCTTAATGCTAAATAAATGCTCTGTGAAGGACATCTCCGAGTGAGGGAAAGCAAAAAGCAGCAGCAGCAAAGGGAAGCATAGCTCAGCTCCAGCTGCATCTCAGCCCCCGTGTCCAATGCTTGTCCCTGGGCATGAGCCAGTCCTCCTCCTCCTCTCCAGGAGCAGGCTAAAACCTTTCTCCTTGCCCTGGGCTGCACAAAAGCCACTCAGCACCTCAAACAGCAGACCACGTTTTACACTCCTAGTAGGGTACATTTAATGTATTATTTGCAACATTCAGGTTTTCAAAGGCATTCAATGTTGCACCTAAACTGTCTGATATACTGTTCCCCAAAAGACTGGGGCTGAGCATAAACAGAACATGAAACAATTTACCCTAGGATTGCAAACTGATGATTTTATCACAAGTCTTCCAGGAATCAGGGGATTTATAAGCATTTCCAATCAGTCTAAGCAGGAATTTGGTCTTTGCTTTAGGTCAGAACAGAACAAGATATCAAAATGTCACTTTTCTCCTCCAGCCAGCCCCTGTTAACCTATGGCAGGAGGGTGATTAGTCTCTGGGCCATCTCAAAGATGCTGAATATTCCCTGTGGGGTTCCTAGAAAACTAATCAAGACTGGGAGCTCATTTCACAGTTACAGTTGGGAGAGGAGATAATGCCACACATGGAAGTCCAAGTATCTGCCAGTGGCCCTGGCCTCCTCATCCAGGCAGTCTTGGTTTTTACTTACAGAAAAGTTGCTTGGAAGCATATCTTTCCTAGAAAGCCTCAGGCTTCTAGAAATAGGGAAAGGGAACATATTTAAAAGCAAACAAAAGACTATGTCGAAGCAAACATAGCTACTTTTTATAAGCAATACTCCAAAGCAGATCTATTTAAAAGGTCATGCTGTCTTTCGGAGTACAGCAGAGGGTATTAAAATGCACATGTATTTTTTTGTTTATATCTTGCCAAGAACAATATAAAAATGTCTAACACCTTCTGCTGATTTATGATGGTGGCCAAGGAGGTGCCAGAGCAGAGCCTTGTTCATTGATCTACAGCTGAATCATGCAAAACCAGACATCCTGCTGTAAATCCACTGCAGAGACCTGGCTTGATTTATACCTCCAGCACTATAAATAATGACAAAAAGCAGCCTGATAGCAGTCTGTCCTCCCCTTACACGGACATGAATTACATCAGGTCTTGAAGATGATAGATCTACTCCACAAGAAACATTTTGCACTGGGTCCCTATCTGCCAACCTGCAGGAGAAAGGATGCCCCATCCTCACTCCCAGCATAACCCCAAGCTGTGTTTCAGGCACATCAATATTTTTATATTCTCATTTTTCTTTTTCTGCTCAATGTAAATGAAGACATTCCTTGAACTGTTGCAGGTTAAGGTCTTCTGAATGTTTAAAGTGCTATTCCTGTAAGTGAGGTTCAAGGCTTCTTCCAGTCTCAGTCAGAGACAAGGTCAGCACTCTGACTTTGTCTCCCTGACAGGCAGCAGCACAACACCCACTGGAAGCCAAACCCTCAAGGTCAGTGTCTGCACATCCCCAGGCACAGCTAGCACAAGAAAACCAAGCTCAGAGCTACCTGCTCTGTCCTGGCCCCTGCAGTATTGTTCAGGCAAATTGCACTCATTGTGAGGACTTTTGCAGGCTGATTTTACAGTCTCCTGACCAGAAATGTCTCCAGTCAGTGCCAGCTCCTCCCACTCATTCCTCCCAGTATTTTTAATTTCTACTAATTTCAGGGAAAAGTTCTCTATCTGCCTTCAGTAAATAAGTTGATAAATTGCTGCTTCTTTGAAAGCGTCAGCCATGCAACTTTAGATTGCTGCAGTCTGGAAATAACCACATCAGCCAATTCAAAACCTCCAAACTTGCCATGGCACTCCCCCAAAATTCTGCATAAGCAGAGGGTCCCCCTAGGCAGGGGGGCCCTTCCCTGATCATCCTGGGTGTCTGGGGGGTAGAAACACCACCAGACAAAACTGAGGGGCTGGATGACACCATGAAATAGCTGCTGGGCTTTAGCCCTGTGTGGATGTGGGGGCAGCCTGCCCCAAGCAAATCTCCCAAGATCTGGGTCTTGGAGGTAGGGAAGGGATTCCCAATCCCGAGTTGCAAAATGAAACCCATACAGCATGGAAGGAGGGGAAAAACAGTACTTTATAAGTAACAGTGATGCACCAGTGCCGCAAGAGTTAGTACAGCTTAGTGGCAGGGCCTGAGAGCTACTTGATATAGAAAAAAATACCAAAGTCCTAGAGTTACAGCCATTTACAGCATCCAGGTTGATCCTTCAGGCTTGGCTGGCTGCGTAATCCTTCCACGCTCGCTGCTCACTGCATTATCCCCTAACAGAGCACAACAGGCAGATTTAAGGTGGACAAATCCAAAATCGATACACCCCAGCCCTCTGTCACGTGGCAGGACTTGGTACCCAGTACACAAGTGCAGGCATCTCTGTCACTGGAGGCAGCTCTTGTCTAAACAACAGCACAGAAACAGTGGGAAAAGGGGAACAGGGAAACAGAGTGACACTGAGGCTAGTCTGTTAGTATAGCTGCCCAAAAAATGGTGTTTCCATTAAAAACACCTGGCATTTTATTTAAGCTACTCCATGGAGATACTTTTTTGTTTGAAGAATTAAGACATTGCTTTGCCATTTGAAATGAGAGCTCATCCATTTCATTCATGCCAAAACAAACCTTTGCTTTTGTTCCTTCCTTCCTTGTCTTTTGTCTGCCTCTTCTCCTGTGAAAAAAAGAACAAAGAAGAGAGGAAGTAGAAGGAAAAAACAAAGCAATTTTACCCCAGTGAAAACCTGACGTGTTTTCTCATTGTTCAAAACCTGGCTTTCACCTAACAAAAATTAGCTATGAGTTGTGCTGCCTTAACCCTTGGCTGTTCTTCAGTCCCTGCATCTCTCTGGAAGGCAACGTTGAGAACCCAGTTTTAGCCTGTGGAGTCCGGCCCCACAGGGGTTTGAGTCAGCCTGGCACTTGCCATCAAACATCAAACCACACCACCTTCCCTTCTGCCAGCAGTGATGTATGATCCTAGAGGAAAATAATTTGATACAAAAAATCACTGGTTTCAGCTTCCAAGCACCCTTTAAATATGTACCGAACTATTCACCCCAATTACACTCATGTAATGGGCTCTGATTTGTTTTCCTTTGTTCCCAAAGCAGTAAGGCACTGGCCACATTAACATTCAATAAGAAGTTGTTTGATATTGAATCATTTCTTCAGCAGTATTATTCCTTACACAATTCTGTTTGATTGCAATCCACTTCACATTTGGTAAGTACTTACTGACTATGAAAGAATGACCTAGCCTGCTTTCTCTTGCCTTTTTTTATTGATTTCTCTTTTAAAAAGGTTTTATTCCTTTATACATGAGATTGCAACATGAGTGAGAGGCAACATTACTGAACAACTGTTTTCCTTGCTGCTCCACCAAGCCATATAGCTTCACACTAGGCCCCCAAAAATACTGTAATGAGACACTTACAGACACGGAGCTGCCTACACTCTTTTCCTGGGACTTTTTGTTCTTACTGGTAAACTTCCAAATTGTTCAAGTGAATAGTCAGGAATAAATTGCTCTTTCTGAGCCCCTGATTAGACCGTACACTGAATAATTGTAGGCAGCCCCACTGTGCTCCGCATTTAAAGACACAGCCCACCACATGCAGTTTGTCTTATAACTTGTGCTTTGCACTCACTTTGTGTAGGGTTTTTTGTAAAGGAGAAATGTAGAGCACTTGGAAAATATCAACAGTGAACCTGCTCTGTGGTTTGCCTGAATTCCAAGCTGCCATCACTTCCAAAACAGTGGGCTCTTTTTCTTACATCCAGAACATACAAATTATTACAACATGATCACATACTGCATAGGCGAATAATGTTTTTCTTGGCATTGGGCTCAATCCTGATTAGGCCAGCAGGACACCAGCAAAATCTTTCCTTGACAAGAGGTTTCAGATACAGCAGCACTTCCTCAGGCTGATGTTTGGGAAGCCCCTCAAATCCCACAGCATCCTCTTGTGCTAAGGGACCAACAGCCTCGGCCAGGATGACCAAAGCAGCAGCTCAGCATGGTCCACATCCATGGCTGTTTCCAGTTTTAGTTAGACTTATCTTGCATTAATTAATCCTTGGCACTAAATGCTGCAGACACTGAAGCAAGCGGCTGACAAGTAATTTAAGTGATCTAATTAATATGTGTCTTATCAACAACGCAAGGGAAATATTTTTAAAAACCTTTATAAAACCCACACCAGCACATAGAGGCTCGTGCACACAGACACTGACACGGGTGTCGGGCAGCCGGGGCAGGCACCATCTCTTCTCCTCTGTCTTGCCCAGGGGAGGAGTGCTCCAGTGGGTTCCCACACCACAGTGGGGTGAGACTTATGCAAACATCCCTCTTTTCTTCCAGCATCGATGTACACTGAAATACAGCGGGAGCAACCAGACAGTGGGAATATCCTGACTCAGCCAGACTACATAGATGGAAACCCAGACCTCATAAAACCTAAAAAGCTCCTAAATCCTGTAAAAGCCTCGAAGAGCCACCAAGAGCTGCACAGAGAGCTGCTGATGAACCACAAAAGGTAAGAGGAGGTCTCAGCCTGTCGCCGGAGTGGTCCAAGAGGTGCTGAGCCATCGGAGCTCAGCAGCTGGGGCACAAGTGCCAGTGATAGCCTGCAAGTTGGAAGGACACAATAAATGCCTTCGCTTGCAAACAAACACAGCATAAAACTTGCTCTAGCCCTTTCCTCTTTTCTCTGACATGACAGTTTCTTTTAAAACAAAAGCAGAATCAAAAGCCATCCTGAAGCATCAGCTAGCATATTTTGTTCCTGCTTGATATTTCCACCCACCTCGAGCCACAAGCATTGGAAGATGTGAGGCATCCCTACAGCCCCTTTCTTGGTCTCCCACGCATGTTTTCTCCCTGGTCCTGTTTTTTCTATCTCCACCACTGACTTGCCAAGTCCCCAGCAATGTACAGCATTCCTGTGTGCTTTATGATCAACCCAGAGGCAGGAAGAGGTGCAGGCTGGATAGAGCCATTGAAAGCTGGGAGAGGACCAGAGCGAGATCATCTGTGCAAGGAGAAGGGTAAACACTGTTTCTGTAAAAATCAAACAGGTGAAGATAAGCCAGCATTCACATTCCTGACTTCCTTCCCCATCACCCCCAATTTAACTCTCTGGGGGTACAGATACAACATCAGGAAAATAACACCAGTGACTGAGAACTATAACCACGTCATTCCTTTATAGCATCTGTCTGAACATCAGTGTGATAAAAGAATACTCAATTCAGAGGCTTTTTAGCACAGCAAGAAATCTGCTGGCATTATTGACATTTTCTGAACACGCTGAAATATTCTGACACAATAGCACTTTGGCCGTCTAATTAAAAGGAGCACAGCCTCTGTTCAAAAGGACTACAGTCATCATGAGAATCAGACACATATATTAATTCAGCAAACAATCAAGCCTGCCAGCGGGGTGCATTAATCAATACTGGCACTGGCTAGGCTTGGGTTTGATTTGATTTTCCAAGAATCAGAAGAATTACAGGGACCATTCTCTGGCATCAAGGCAGAGGTAACTATACCGGGCAGATATTTTTAAAACTCTCTGGCTTGAGACTGACCATATCCTACCTAGTGATACTGCTCAGTTTAAAGGCTCACCCACCAGCATTGCCTTTGCTCTCACAGAACATTATTCCAGTCTAACTGTGATAGAACAAAGAATCAAGAAATCCTTGCAACGGAGGTAGCAGAGACAAATGGAGGCAGATGGGGTCCAGACCCCACGGCATCAGACCGAGCTGAACTTCAAACTGGCAAACAAAAAGTACATCATCACTTTGTACTCTAGTTCTGTACCTGCCACCGTGTTACATCCACATGTGCCATCAGATACTGGCAGGAGGCAACTCCACTGCAGCCATCCTGCCTCTCCTGACCTCTCTCCTTATAGTCCTGTACATCACAGGCATCAGTTTAAACCGGCTTTGGTTCTGGCCTCCCAAATATTTTTCAGCAAATATGTGAAACAAACCCTACTGTGACCAATAATTCATTGTTGATGGTTTCTTGTCACTCTCAAATCCACCAGTTTTGCTTCCTGCTACATGTTACTACAGAGGAAGAGAGGGAAGAAAGGGAGAGAGAAGGATCTGTGACTTGCTCCTGTTTCTGCTTTGCTGTTGGTTTTTCCCCTTAAACAGCAGGGGGGAGCAACTCAAATCAGCAGCTTGTGCAACAAACCCTTATTGTAGGCAACACCTCTGGGTACTAACAACACAGGCTGATTAAATCAAAGAGTAGTAGCAAATCCACAGGCACCACTGCAACCTGTGTCTTCAGCAAGCCAAGGCAGGTTTGCCTTCTCTCAAGTCTTGGGAAAAGCATTTCTGCAGCATCCAAGTTCTTCCTGCCTTGAAAAAACATCGTGAAAACTCTGGGGCCAACACTACAGCTACCTTCATTGGTGTTGCCATGAACTTTGTCCTGTTATAAAGCAAAAAAAGAAATTACAATAGGAAACATCATTAAACATGGCACTAGAAAGATGCAAGCTGTGGTCCTCAGCCATGTTGTGAGAGCACAGAGGTTTGCTGCATCTGGAGAGCATTTCCTTCTCCTGCATGCTAGTTCAGTTTTTCATGATGTGAGATACCACCTCAGCATCTGCCACCTTGCCAAGAAAGCTCTGTAATTCACAGGATTTGATGTCAAACGACCTTAGCAAAAAACAACCGGCATTTGGTCAACAGAAACCTCTTGGTGCTGAGGAGGAGATTTACATTAATAGCACACCCAACACACAGTGCCCTGGTCAAGCCCTTAGCACAGACATGAGGAGGTCCCCTCCTCACCTCAAAACAAACCTTCAGGGACAGGAACACCGAACACCCCACAGTTTACAGCAGGATTTGTAAATACTCTCAGCTAATTGATTTAAAAGAGTGTTAAACCCAGCCCATGAAAGTGGTTAGGCCCCACTCCTCGCCCAGGTGTGACAGATACAAGGTCTTCAACTCCTCCTCAAAAAAACACTTCAGTCAACTACTTCAGGTCCTGTATTTTCTTGCAAGATTACCTTCACTCCAGTTGCTATTGCAGAAGATAGCCTGGGTAAATGTGGCCTTGACAACTTCTTAATAATCTGTTCTTCAGTGACACAAAACTCTGTGCAGTTGCAATAAAGTCACCCCTGAATTCAGCAAATGTTTGACTTCCCAGCAGCTTCAGGTTTTGCTTCTCTCTGGCTAGGGCTGAGCGGGACAGCAAGTCACCAATTTTAGTGATTTAAGCCAGGAAGCCAATGGATTTTACAAAGGCAGATTCCTTTTGGCACAGAGGAAGGAGTTGGTCAAACCACTACCCTGAAAGAGCAGGAACCATCCCATGACCATGCAGAAGCACATCTGGACTTGGTCCACATTTACACTTAGCCCTACACATCCATAACTACTCCCATGCTTCCCAGGAGGCAGAACTTGGTGGGAAGGTGGCTGAGGTCAGCTGCAGGAGGTAAATCTTAGTGTCTAAATTCAGGCATGGCAATATTCAAAGTGTTAGGTTTCTGAACTTTGCTTGGAGAAATTTATTCATCTCTTTACCACATATTTATGCCTTGCCTGCATGTCCTTGACATGTCTCCTTTCCCATGATGCCATCCCTCACAGAACAGGGCTTGGAGCAGCCCCGCTTCATGAGAGATGCTTCGGGCGGCCGAAGGGGAGCCAGGCACCTGTGCCATCAGCAAACACTCTGGCTTCCAGGAGGAAAGGACATTTCATTTTGGCCTCTTGACCCAAACTCTCCATATTAACAGAGGGATTGTTAGCCCTCAACTCTGAAGCAAAGCTGGGATGCAACGGGGAGGAAAGGAACTGCCAGGACAATTATTGCAGATCAATGACTACCCCTGCTGGTGGAAAAAAAATCGTCATTATTTAAAATGCCCTCAACGCAGCTGAATCTGTCATGGACATAATTAAAACTAGTAACAGCAGGAACCAACAGAAGGTCCCTTCTCCACACCCGACCCAGAAAGCTGTACCACCTCAATGTAATGAGATTAGCAAAACTTCCAGCACTACAAGCCCCATGCACAGACAGAAAACACTGTGACCACCTAAGACAGGCAGCCCAAAGCACCATCCCAGCAGTAAGGTGCTCCCAGTAACACCCTCAAAGCCTTGTGAATGGATTTGTGCACCAGGACTGGTTTGTGGACCAGGTGTCCCATGTTTCCATTTAGGACTGAGAAGAGTTTTGGGGTTGCTGGGCTGGCAGTGATTACACCCCCAGGGTGTAAGTGCTCTGGCCCTGATTTAACTGTTTTTTATCTACAGAGGTTTGAGCATGGAGAGCAAGCCAGAGCTGCAGAGAGTGCTTGAGCACCGACGGCGAAACCAGCTCATCAGACAAAAGAAGGAAGAGGAAGAGGCAAAGAAATTGCAGTCTCCTTTTGAAAAAGAGCTATTAAAGAGGCACCAGAGACTGGATCAGGTAGAACTGAGTTTTCAGCCATCCCCAGGTTATCCTAACCACCCCTCACGAGGTACAGGCCACAGGTGAGATGAGTGGACTGAGGTTCAACCCAAGGTATAACATTGCCACCCCTCCATAAAACAGGAGCCACAGTATGTCCTTCGCTGCTGCCCCATGGAGCTACAGCACCCTCATCCTCACAGTGGGATCTACCTTGTTTGTAACACCTTGCCCAGGACACTCACTACACAACACTGGCCCTGGGTCTCCTCCAGGTCCCATGCGGTGTCCTTGGAGTGTGCTTTCCACTTCAAAGCACCACAAAGAGCACAGGGGGGCTATTGCTGCACCCACCACAGGGGTGCTCAGGACCCTGGGGTGAGTAGTGTGAAGCTGTGAAGGTGCTGGAAGGTGCAAACCCTGCTGCAATCATACCCAAGCTGCTTTTGGGAGCACTTCCTGGCACGTACCCTGCCCAAAAATACTCTGGGGAGAGCAATATTCAGCATGGGTCAGCATGTCAGCAGCACAGCCATGCCCCGGTGCTCTGCACCTGCCCTCTTACCCAAATCCATGCAAGGAGCAAGCTGGCTCCCCGTCCCACATGCCAGTATTTGCACTGCAAATGGATGAAAGTAGTTTATTTAATTAATGACACAACAGCTCCCTTCCAATATCAGCCAAGCCAGTATCATTTGAAAATCAAAGGCCGGCACTCTCAAAGAAGAACCAGGAGTATGAAATAAGATGGTTTAGGGACAGATCCATAAAGACTTTCCATGTAAAAGTGAGGCAGTGCAACGACTTACCCCCTCTTAGACAATAACCTAATGCTGAGAACTTTTCCTGGGCTCAGCAGGCCTCCTCTGCTGGGAAGGATTAAAACCTCCTCCTCCTCCTCCATGCCAGGTCTGAAGCGAAGCACTCTCCTGCTTTTCTGCTGGAGATGTTCCTCCCTGGATGGAAAAAAAAAAAAGTAAATTAATTTTTTAGTGGGACACAAAAGAGGTGAACATGGTTTGGAAAAAGAGAGCACCAACATGTGCACTACACACTCATTCAACTTTGGGCAATAATAACTGAATACCCAGCAATAATGAAGCCCATAATTTTAACATAGCTAATGCAGTTTTGTCCTTTAGTATGCACAGGTAACAGTCACTCTTCTTTCTTACAGTTGGAGAAAGAGCAGGAGAAGCAGGAAGACCATGCACCAGAATTCATTAAAGTCAAGGAAAACCTGAGAAGAACATCAACCGTGACTGGGGATGAGAAAGCAGCATAGCTTCTGCCAAAACTCAACAGGGATCCTACCAAGGCCAGCACTAACACATACACGCTGACATCTCTGTACATGGTGGACATTCACAGCCACATCGTTGGGGATACTTACAGTTATTAACACTTGCTCCTATAGAAGGCACAAAAATGGTTTTCCCAGCCCAGGAAGGTATCACTGTGGGAAATGTGCAGTATTCACCGAAGAAGTACTTATGTGAGGAGATGCAGAAAGAAATTATGTTATTTTTCCCCAAGATTGTGGGTGCACGCTAACCTCCAGCTAACTCTTGGTTAACCCTTGAGACACCGTGACTGTTTAAGCCAGGGAAGTCTGTGGAGGGATGGTTTGTGGGACCCCTGCTTCTTCCTGGAGGCAGGTTCGCCAGGCACAGGGTGGCAGGAGGGCAGCTGCAGTTCTGGAGAACATCCTGGAAACGTGGCATGGTTACTAAAAGGGACAATCTGCATATTACTGAGAACAGCCCAGGTGGCCATAATGGCTTTCCCAAGGGTCACTGGTATTGCACCGGTGTGTGAGTCAAGCCTGGCTGAGGCTGTGTGTCCCAGCAGCACACACGTACTATTAGCAAAATCAACCTCTCTGCTCATAGCAGTGCAGCACAGGCAGGTGCAACTGTTCATCACAAGCACCTTTTAACCACATTTCAAACCTGTTTAAAAATAGTTATTTAGGCAGTTTCATGATCAGGCAGAAATACACTGGATTATACCATCAATGCCCCAAGTGGGAGGCAAATGCTCTCTGCAGAAAGCAAAGGCTGGGAGTTTTCAGCATGGGTGTTCACAGAAGCATGCAGTGAGCAGGCAGCAGATCTCTGTGGATGTAGAAGACAGACCAGCTGCTTCTTGCCCCTGGACTACTGAACTTCAGCCTTTCCCCCAGCAGCTGGACATGTGCTACCATAGGGACCCATAAAAAATCATCCTGTGATTGGGCAATGGTAATGTGGTAATATCATACTGGTGTCAGGCCACTGTCCTGTTAACCACCCTGCACACAGCTGGCATCTGTAGGCACCAGGGGCTACAGACCACATAGGTACTGATGCAAAACTATTTGTCAGTGCTTCTCATCCCCTTTTCCAGAGGTCAGGGCTGCCTCATTTCAGTTGCCACCTTGCAAAGCTAAAAATCATCTCGCTGCTGGTATAGCAAAGCTGAGATAGATGGTGTATTTGCACCACGTATGGACAGAGCTTACCACATTTATGGGGCACCCATGCCCTGAGGTGTCCACATCTAGAACTAAAATTGCACCTTCAGGAAGATCTCAGCTTCTTGCTTCTCACATTAGCCCTGATACAAAGACTAAACCGCATAACTCACTGACTGCCTTTGAACACTGGCTCCTGAATGGCAAGCCTCCACGGTCCTAATCAGATGGGAAGGTAATATCTGGTAAAACAATGTGTACTATCCACATCTTCAGTGGATCCATATGTAAATTAAGGGAAACTGGGCATTTATCACATATTTATTAAAAAGTCTCTCTGGTCCAGTGGGGTGTTTCATTTCAGAGGGCTGTTCCTTGACCTTGTAGCTTAAGTAAAACATCTGAGCCACATCACATGTCAAGAGCAGTGATACAGACATGGGGCTTCCATGGCAGAGTAGACTATAAAAACTCTTAACTCAGTTTCAGTCCTTGAGAGCCCCATCTCATAGAACTGTCTCTGCAGTAGTTTTTAAGCCCCTTACTCATCATGCTTATTCTAAACAAGTTTTTGTTTCAGAAATCCAGTGCATGTGGTCACTATGGGTCAAACAAGATCTGAAAGGATCTATTATGTCCTTTCTAACTGTGAAGCTTTTCATATAGGTTATGATTAAAACCATGAGGAAGAAGCAGCGTCAACCAGTTTTTCAGAAGGAAAAAAAGCCAAATTTCTCCAAGGAAAAAAGGTGTTGCTAAAGATGTTTGCACATAGCTGTAAACAATGCTGTGTGACACTCCATAGATAACATCAGTTTAAATAACAAGCCAGAATTACTGTGCTGGGGTTTTGTGAGGGGTTATGGTACAGATTAAGTAACCTTGATCAAAGAGCTCAAAAAATTTCAGCAAATTAATTTGTAATTTCGCCACAGATGGAAATGCACTCCAGGAGAGGCAATCTGTCGTTCCATATGCACCAGTGAAATCAGTGTTATCAGCTCACCCAGGCTGGGACAGGGGCATTTATGCAAGTCCTTGGGTGGGAGCCATCCGGTAAGGTCTGGGTAAGCTGAGTGCTCAGATCAGCAATGAAAAGATTGAAAATATTTTGCTGCAGTCTTCTTAGGTATGCAAATATTATCTGGGGAAAAAAAAAAAAAAAAACAAAAAAAAAACCCAAGGTGTTTCCCTTTCATGTGGTGTCCAGCAAGCACAGAGTGGGGCTGTGCACCAACACAGTCCGTGATTGCTAACAGGTGCCCGGGTCATTTTCAGCTGGGGTCCTGAAGGAAAAGGGAGGGCCAGGTCATACTCTCCTGACTCAGGCTGAGCTAATAGACCCACAAGAAATCCTTCCAGTGGTGGAGAGACAGCAGAAAGCCCTGACCCGGCTGCTCCCGGGGACCCCGTGGGCTGTGAGCCGGGACCCAGCCACCCATCCACCCGCCGAACCGGCCACAGGCAGCCCCATGGCACACAGCGGGGCCCACGGCGCTCCGTCCCTGGCAAGAGCTGCAGGCTCCAGCCCTCCGTGACGGCACGTGGGAAATTATGCTTTTACTGTTCAAGTGTTGGCTTAAAAGTCAAGAGTTGTCCAACACAGCTCTTCTCACCCCCGTGAACTGATAACTGCCTCCCCGGCTGGGCCGGACCCTGTACAACCTTCACCAATGCTCTTGTGCTTCGTGGCATGGCAGCGTGGAGGTGGCACCCAAAAAAACATCAGTGTAGGCATCACCAGGAAATTCAGGGGTATCTTTGTGTCTCTTTTTCTTTGAAATTAATTCCTCCCTATGCCCTTAAAATACATTCCTGAGTAAATGTGGTATGTCCAGAAGATACAGATTATCAGAGTATTGATGGTAGATATTTTTTTGCACTGTGTATGTTGCCTGTGTGGTATACAGTCTATATTCTGTGTTGGTGTTTATACATTTACATAAAAATACATGTCATGCAACTCAATTAACTCACACTGTTTAATGTAGACACTTCTGAAGAAATACACTAAATGATGATTGTATATTTTGCTCTTTTCCACAAGGAACTGAAAAAGCTCTGAGGATACATGCAGACAACCGCCAAATAAACTGAATGAACATAAAAATCAGTAAAGTCTGACAGCAACTCCTTCGTTAATGCTGTGTTAACTTACTCATTGATGAGCTGTTTTCATCACCTGCACCCACTGCTGCATCCACTGCTTATCCCTAGACTTCACCACAATTTGCTGGAAGTTTAAGGGCACAAAAATTGTGGAATCAGGCTTTGTGCATCGAAACTTCCCATGTATTTGATTTCTACCCAGCCATGGATGCCCACCTGCCTGGCAGGCTAAGACCCACAAAGCCAAGGGAATACATTGCCTTTGGATTTAACTTAAAACCTCAGTTTCGAACTGAAAAGTAATCCTTACACTAGTGAGCTCTCTTCATTATTTTTAAACATTTTTAAGCGTTTTAGCAGCAACCAAAGACCACAGATTAAATAGATAAGAAAAAGGGAGGATGCTTCACACATGCAGGTCACACACACCATGCTCCCCAAGAGCCAGGACTAAAACTGAACGCAGCAAAGCAAATAAAAAGGACTTCTCTGTCTCACTAGTCATATCCTTAACAGCAGAGACACCAACTTCCCGCTCAGAACAAGGCAGAGGTGGTGCCTGGATGCATTTCTCTGACATGGGATACCTGCTGGGGTTGCCATGCTGGGAGGTACACGGCATTCCCGACCCTCCACACCCCACGGCACTGGTGTGGGCAGTCAGCTCATCATTAGGGATGAGGGCTCGTTGACTAAACCTGTTCTTCGGGTCAGGTTTCCAAAACATCTTCCCACCTTGTAGCTGCTTATAATAACACCTCACTTGTCATCCTTCCATGGCAGTTGTGTACTTCATTTACAGGCACATGCAACACAAAGGTTCACTGGAGACTGTGGCCTTTGGTAAGACATGAGACCAGGGGATTCAGGCAGGATTTTGTAAAACGTTTTATCAACCTTTCACGGCCCCAGCCAGCGAGGTTTCGATGGGCTATGCCTCAAGACTGCTTATACTAATCACACACCTCCTTTCACATGCAGATGCCAAAGGCAGTTCTTCATGTCATGACAGTTCCTCATGTGGAACACACTGGGGACAGATTCAGGATTGCCGGTGATGAAAGCAACACACACCCCACATCAACCTCCCTCCACCCCCCAGCACAACCCAGCCTGCGAGACACATCCCCAGTCTCCCGGCTTGCACCCCAAACTGCAGGAAAGGCTGAGGGCAGTGCCATAACAGAGTTGGGAAAACCTTGAGCAAGTTAAATCCACAGGCAAGGGACAGTGAGAGCCTGAGGGGTGCTCCTCTCCAGCCTGAGCAGACTACAAAAGAAAAAAAAAAATTAAAAATACTGGAGAAGGGCAGGGTGTTGCTTTGGTGACAAAACTGGAAGTGCAGCTTCCAACGCACAAATAGCCTGAAGTGAGATCAGAAAAATGGCATTTTTCTAAACGCAGAGGCTCCAGCCCTTTCGGCACTGGGAACTGTGGGATTTTACTCCTCGCATGCACACAGGCCGCTGCCTGCAGAGGTCAGATCTGGCACGCTGCTGCGCACACGCAGAAACACCCACGGGTCGGGTCGAGCTCCATTAGTCCCAGGGACAAGGTCCCTTCGGCGGGGACACCGGGAGCCGTGACCCAGGCAGGCAGACGGCAGCCAGACGGCTCCCCCAAGGACCCGTGGTGCAAGGTATGTGGGGTTTTGCCTTCGCATGTAGCGGACAGACACACAGATTTTTCTTATGCAGCTGCACAGAAGAGGGAGCTGGCAGCTGAGCCGTCCCCATGCTCCAGCACCGAGCCCAGCACTTCCTGAGACAGCTCAAGGACAGGTTGGATTATCCCAGTCTTGTGTACTCAGCATGTTGCTTTGACGCTTTTGTCCCTCCCAGGACAGTAAGAGACCTTGAATTAAAAGTGAGAATATCAGAAAATCAGGAATTAAGAACATATTTGCAAGAGCTTCCAGAGTTTAAAAATCTCATTAAATAGTTCAGGAAGGCAGGCAGCCTATTTGAGGGAAAAATCTGCTTTATTTTCCACACACCACACTTGGGGTTTTTTTATTAGTATGCTGCAGCAAATCCTGCTACCATGGGAATTACAAGGTTAGGAGTTAATGTAAAGCTGAGCCCCGTGGGAAGCAGGCCGGGGGCAGCACAGGCAGAGCTGCCAGTGCCTGCGAGCGCAGAACCTGGAGCCTCGCAGCAGATGCCCGTGGGCTGGGCAGCAGCGGCAGCGCCCAGTGTCGGGGGGGGGAACGGGCCAGGGCCAGAAACTTTCTTAAGCATTAACACAGAGTTGTGGGATATTCCAGCAGCGACTTCTCATAAAATATTGGGGTCATACTGGTGAAAGAAAAAGATTTTATGTGTAAAAAAAAAAAATCATAAAACCTGCGTTTTGAGGTCTTAAACATGCCCTAAATTTTTGTTGTCGGTATGATTGCAATGAGGACAAGACAGTGCCTAAATATTCATGCAACCCCTGTGCAGGTACAACATCTTGGATGTACTACTGAAACCGCTCCCTGCTGCACCCAACACCTTCATCAACCACCGACTGAAGGGGTGCAGCGCCCAACGAGCTCCAGCCCTTCCCAGAGCAGCTCAGCCTCCAGGATGGCTCTGCTAGAGACCGGCAAGTATGCGCAGGGCTCAGTCCTGGGCAGTGTGAATCCTGACCTCGCCAGTGAGAGACAAACAGCCTCCTTCAGCGTGGAAAAGCTCACGGTCTTGCTGGACGGCGGTGAGGAGCACACTCGGATACGGCGGGCAGTGGGTGAGTGAGCCTTATGAGGCCCCTGGCTCCTACATCCCTGCTGTTTCTGCCCCTCCTTTGCAGCACAGTGGGTTTTGTGCTCTTGGATATTTGCTTCTCGCCCGTCTGTTAAAAAAAGTGGGAGGGTGGAGATGGAGTCCACTTAGTGTGAATCAGCATGACTCCTCTGCAGCCACTCTTCACTGTCTGAAGATTTTCCCCTTCCCTGCTCCCGTCCCCAGTATCTCTGGCAAGACTAGTTAAACTAAAATACAAGGACCAAGGGTCACACAGGCGAGCATCTCTGTGCAAGGGGGATGTGCAGCCAACCACCCTCCTTGCACATCAGGCTCATCCAGGTGGGGAATTCCTTGCGTGGGTTGGCTCAGCCAGGCTGAGCTGCTCTTACTTGTGATGGGTGTGCCATGACTGTGCTCAGAGGGTACAGAGAAAAAAAAAAAAATCTATTTTGTCTCTGTAACTACATCCATATTAAACCCTTATCAAATGAAAACTGCACAGGCCACTGGGATCATACACTTCACGGTGCAACTGGAGTTCAGTATAACCTTAAACGTGAATGGACTCAAGGTTTCAAGGCAAAAAGGGAGCAGCAGGAGTGCTCAGGCTGACACAGAAAGAGTGAGCCTAAGAGCTTCTTCACAACAGTGCGAAGGGCTGGTAAAGTGCATTAGCCATCCCTCTGGGCAGAATCCAGCTAACTGCAGCTCTTGCTGCCATCACAGCATGGGAACAGCAATTAGCGACAGAGGGATCTGTGGCGTTATCTGCCTGAGGCACAAAGTCACCTCCAACACCCTGACCAGGGCCGGTGCCTTACCCAACAGGGTCACTATTTCCACTCAACAGACTCCTCTCTCAGGCCCACTCAGTGCCTCTCCCCTCCTCCTTCCCCAGCCCCCATGCTTTTCAGAGTCAGGCTTGACAACGACCAGAACCAGCACTGGCAAAATAAAAACTGCCTGCAGTCACCCTAACAAGTCATGGCATCAACATCCACGATGCCAGTCCTGTCCACTCCTCCCGAGCAGGACTTGAGGTGCTGTCCACACCCCCCCAGCCCTATGAGAACCAACTCTTCTGTGTTGCTTTACAGTTGAAGCTATCCAACGTGACCCTGTATTCAGCAGAGAAAATCAGTATTTCGAAAGCCAGAATGAGAGGTACGAAGCAGCAGTCAGAAAAGCTGTTCATCTCCAGAAAAAGATGCACGAGATGGGATGGACTGAGAAGGGACCTGAATTTAAGTACATTTACAGGTGATTTTTGTTTATTTTTTTAAATGTACAACTAATTTTTTTGTTAAAAGTTTTGTATTCTAACAAGAATTGGCTTTAGCAAAGACTGGGAGAGGCCAACAGTTGATGGATAAGGTTTTGATACAGACATGCCACAGGCTTTTACTTTAGCAGCATGCTTGGGAAAAGTGAAAATGACAATACACAGTAGGGAACTTCTCAAAGAGTAGGACATGGGTACAGCCTGACAGATGACAGCAGTTCACATCCTTATTGTGATATATCTACTTCAGCGAGCTCCTTAACCTGCGCTACAGCTCACATACCACTCCTCAGCTATTTTTAAACATATAACCAGAATTTGAAGTGGTGTTGTTTAAGTTACATTACTGACTCCCAGATAAATTAAAGATGTAATTTTCTCTATCTAGAAAACCTATATTGTATTTAAATAAAACAAACAAACAAAAAACACCACCTTATTCTGTAGGTAAATGGAATAAAATTTTCTCACAATCCTTTCCTTAAAAAAATTTCTTAACACTTTGCATGGGGTCGAGCTCCACATTTTAATTGCTTACCCATTCTTCTTTCCTCCTTTGCTAAATAAATTACTGTCTTGCTGTTGCCTGGTGTACACTGTCAATTTGATGGAGTTACATAGCCAGTAAGAAGATGTAAGTTCAAGAGTGTCATTCCAAAGGGCAATGCCTGCACTTTAAAAATCACTGCTGGCCCTCAAAGTTTTCAAATATATTTTCAATATTGCAGCATGTAAAAGATTATAATTTTTTATGCTAAACCCTTCACCACCTACAGCAAATACGACTGATAAAGGGGGAAATCTTCCATCAAGAGCTCTTGGACCTGATCATTACATTCCCAATAAAGGCAGCTTTCCACTCCTCCCTCAGATGAGAAAAAAAAATCTCAGAAGATTTTAAAAACCTGACAAAGCTCAACCATCTCTCCCACCTGGGCTTGCTTTTATCAGGCCCCCTGACACCAAGGGCTTCGGCAGGGCCAGCCCTGTGCT